GTATAACTACTAATATACTAATATACTATATATGTTTGCAAAACAATAATTCAATTCGTATATTTTAATTCGTACGTTATAAATAAAAAAAAGCTATTTTAATTGTTGTAATCGTTCATTATCATTTATTAATTTTAATATTCTTTTTTTTTTATCATTAATTCTTTGTGTGGATCACTTCTAAAATAAAATTAACATTAAAAAATATATAAATTACTTAAATTACTTAAATCTAATAAATTCGAAAAAGAAAAAACGTAATTTTAAGTACAAAAAAATAAATTCAAATTCTTCCAAGTTCCTTGAAGACTAGATAATATCATAAATTTTTCTATTATTGAATATCTCTCACTAATCGCTCTCTGTGTCTGGTATTTCTATTATCAATAATAAAAGCACTTTACTTCAAATCTTAACAGGGCACTTCTGGATACAGATTTTAAATTTACAAACATTATTTGACTTGCAAATGTGTGAATCACTTCAATTACGTATCTATAGACAGTTGATAAAGTTAATCACAACTTGCTGATTCCACGACACTCGTCACACAACTGTCTACATTGTCAGATATTTTTACAAAAATGTATTATTTCAATCAGGTAAGAAAAGCTATTGATCGAACTATGACAGATAATTCTGTAACCGCGCCATTTGCAACAATTTTCGAAATTTCATCAGAGTCATGTTAGATATTTCAAGAATTTCAAGCTTCCGCTTCTATGAAAAGCAATTATACACGATCTTATCTAATTTACACAATAAGCGTACAATTGCAGGAAATTACATCATTAATCGTGCGTTTTAATTATGTGACAATTATTTAAAATATTATAGAAAAAATATAAAAATCGAATGATAAAATTCACATCCAAATTCAATGATAAGTTTGCAATTTTAATTTATAAATAAATATAAATTTTGGTATTTTTCATGATACATGTTCTTAAAAAGAAACAGATTTATTGTTTTCTTTTAAAATAATTTATCAGTATTAGTAAAAATTTTGTATTTATAATTTATATATGTATAACGCAAAATTTGATTATAATTTTATTACATTAACAATTTTCCCATTATTGCTTTCCCCCGAAATAATATCCTGTATTCTTTATTCCTGTATTCTTTTTCTACTTTTTTGAAAAAAGTCTTATTAGTAAAAACGAAAACGTTTACAATTCTGGCTAAAATTATATCTGATATCGTACAGAGCCGTGTCTTTCATTACGTCACACAGATGACCGGCAACAGGTATAATTACATGTAAGATAAATTTATATACTCGAGGCGCATTTTCATTACAATATTTATGAATAGTCTGACAACAGATTGATAAGCCACACCTCTTCTATGACATGCGTTTTCTGAATTTGGCAGAGTTCTGTCTTTCTAATTTTGTTCATATAGAATTTTGTTCATACAGAACATAATACACATTATCACTTACGAGTCGATTTACACTGCAAAACCGGACATGTCAATGTAGCGGTAAACATCACGTCGCCAAATGACAGTTTGATTTATTGTTAAAGTCATATTGAAGAAAATTATGTCTTTTTTCAATTACAAACTTATTATTTCTTTCACAGATGTCATTAATCGTCGCGATTTTATTGCTGTAATTATCAATGAATCATTCTTATTCGATATATATTAATTCTTGTATTTTATTATAAATTATAATTAAATTATATATTAAATATTTATTACAATTATGTTATGTGTATAAATTCTATACAATATTATATTATATTCTAAATATTTTTATTAAAAAAGCTAAATGCTTTTGATTAATAGCAATTAAAATTTCTTTGAAACGACAAATCTAATATCGCTCTAAACAGCACCGTTTTGAAATGACCAAATAATTTTTTCGTCGCCAAGGGCAATGACGATTGAATACAATGAACTACTGACGTCACAATAAGCAGTGAAAGGCTTTCATTTACGAGTCAGCGGCGACTCAAAGACGAATTCGAATAAAATTAACTTCGATCTTATTAACCCACGACTTATAACCGAATTTTTCTTTTATCCCATACTTGTCGCCCGTGGGAAAATTGCGCGCGAAAACGGCTTTAAAGGATCGATAAAGGCACGGTTGTCCGGCAGACGCGCACATTCGAAGCAGAAAACACTGCCACGTGTATTTCGGTATGAGATGCGTACCTGGGAATATGATTAACCACGAGCGAATATATCGTCGGTGACGTAAACGCTGAGATTTTCGCGAACGCGCGTTTTTCTTTCGTTACTGGATGATCTCAATCGCGTTCTTCGTAGACACGAGTAACAATAGAAACGATCGGAGCTCGGAGCACGACTGAACCACTGAACACGACTAAAGACCGAAGTGATGGGAGTTGGGACTGTTGGGAGTATTAGTGCCCTACTGCCACTCGCATTTCACAGTTACCACTTACTTCCTTTCGCCATTAAGTATTGTCACAACACGAATAGCGCACAGTAGAGAGTGGCATCAAATATTAAATTTGTTCGTCTTAACATATGTCGTCATAACGATATTTTATTATATCATAAAAAGAATTGTAATACGATTATAAATTATAATTATAAATTGTGTATCATACATAATTTATAGATAATGTCATTACATAGAATATTTAATACAAGTAAAAAGGAGTCCAGGTTTTGATGCCTTTTTTACTAGTTATGGCAATTTTTATGATACATTTTAATAAAAATGCTAAAAATATATATTCATACATATGTACTAGACAATATATAGTAATTAAGATATAAATAAATAATATTTTGGAAATATTTTTGCTACAACACTATACTAAATAAAATAAAGCCTCAATTCAAGAAAGTGACTGTAAATATAGATTTTTAAAAATTGTATATATATTATACATACCGTGCAGATTTCTCGTACTGGGTGCCAAATTGTTTTGATACTGCATTGGTCGGTATATTTGATGTAAGGAATGTTCCATTCACGCATGCGTCAACAGTAGCAGCTATTATATAGATACGTTGGGATGGTCGGATCCGTGATCAAATGGAACTTATTCAGTAGATAACGTAGTTTATACATAAAATATATTGCTTAATGTGTTTTTAGTTAAAATAAATATTTCTTTTAGCATTTTCTTTCATGTATTTCTTGTACTGATTGATTGTGAGAATGAAGCATACGTTTATATTTCAAAAAAAAAATAGAAAAAAACGAGAAAAGAAATGATAATTATGAAGAACTTTGTTCTTTTTAGTTAAAAGAATCATGTAACGTTATATAACATATATATGTTAATATATGTTAATCTTTATGTGACAGGACAATCATTGATCATAATATGTAGCGTTGAAATAATTATAAAAAATTATAATAAATCTTATTCACAGAAAATCCAAGCAATAAAAGGTGTCTAAAATTGGATCATAAGACATTTTTTGCTAATAATTTTGTAAAAGACGACTTAAAGACATCTTATGTCACAATTTTAGACTTCGTGTTATTTAGAAAGCTATAAAAGTTTAAAAATTGACTTCTGCTTTCTAACAGTTAAGGGGGGAAACCACAGTAGAGCACGAAAAAGTAAGTATATTTTCGGGAATTTTTTTTGGCTCAATGAAATGATCAATCAAAAATTTGTAAAATAAGCATTATAATATTATGAATGAAGTACAAATAAGAATTTTTTCATACATTTTTGGTACAAAATGGCTGTGCCGTACTTGTCCGATGGCGCCTATTTTTGAAGGAGGGACCATGGGCGGACATCTAGAGTCCTTAATTTTTGACCTGGAACAAAAAATGACAGTTTTTTAGGTTCTATATATCAATAGCTATGGAAGTACGTAGGATTTTTTCAATATATTAATTTTTCGCAAAATGGTGCACGTTTTAAGGAAAACTTGCAAATTTAACAAAAAAAAACGCCATAAAATTGTTGATAAAAAAAAACCATGTAATATAAAAAAAAACCCTACGCACTTCCATAGAGAAAGGTATTCTGAATATACTGTCAAAATTTGAAACCGATCGATAAAGATTTATTCGAGTTATGTGTCCGCCCAGTTTAAAAAAAGTGGTTTCGAGAAAAACGCGTTTAAAGTTTTAAGTACTGTAAAATCATATAATATTTTTATATACCTCTAATCTGCGATGCCTGCGCCATACAATTGGCCTTCTTCATCTATCTCCTGCTCTTCGGAGCCATCGCCCACACTGTCGAGTTGAAGCTCTCATTGCTGTTTTGAGTGAAACCCCCGATGCAGCGAGTGAGAAGATCATCCGTAGTGAGTTGTTCGTAAACTGGCTTAATTGCTTCATAAACTATATCAGACATTAGTGATTTGTGCGTAGGTAGCCAAAGTGTTAGAAGATTTCGCCCTTTGCCACGAGCACCATGAATTTTCTCCAGTCGGGCAATCGTCGTGTTGGGGATGGTTATCCGTAGATATTTTGTGAAGTAATGTGGCCCATATAGCTGTCTTCATTTTTTCGACTGATTCGCAATTTCTACGAATAGCTAACCCGAAATATATTGACAGTTCGTCGATCAGTTTGCCTGTCAATTTCCCTTTTCCTCCCAAGCCTTTTGTGCGTTTCTTCAAATTACGTGATACCTATAGGCATTCTTAAGTACTATAGACTTTTCGGAGGGAAATTTCTTCTCCATCGACTGCCATTACCTGTTCCCGTACTCATAAATTACAGCGCGCGCCGGAATCACAAAAGGCGCTCGGAGCATACCTGAGAGGCGTTGCCGCAGAATGGAAAATTTGGGTATTCCGAAATTTTTGCGGCACTCCATCTTTTGGTATGTTATTCTTAAGACCCTAAAGCACCTTATAAGCGAAAAAAAATTTTTTCGATTTTTTCAAACTTTTACTGTGATTTCCCCCCTTAAATGAAAAAATAAATGTAAAACTTTATAAATGGCAGAAGAAATTATATGCTGGAAAATGCTTCCATATAAAGTGATAAGATAAATATAATAGGTAAGAATAGAATATTGAATGAGAATAACTTTGATAATGCATAATTTTATTTTTCCTAAATAGTTGAACGGAATAATAAACGATGTATTTATACATAAAATTTATCTGTCATTGTACACAATATTTTGGTATAATGCGCATTCAGTAAATCCATGGTTATTGCGTGGATATTTTTACATATAAATACTCAGGTATTTAATATTCGATTGAAAAATATTTAAGTACTCCGAGAATTTTTCTAATTGGTATTAAAATATCCGAGTGATATATCTCTCAAATTCCTTCATATCTTTTTTTAATTTAGCGTTCGTCCTAGAAATAAAAAATGCAATATAATTTAAAGATAATTATGTTAAATATATATATCTACATATATTGATTTGAGTAAAAAGTTCATTCTGCTTTTTAGAATATGAAATAAAATATAATTTTTTTTAAAACACAAAATAAATTTTAATTAATTATATAATTTGATAGAGTAAAGTTTTAGCTCTTTAAGAATCTGTTTTTTAATTATGGCACGATGATTTTTAAAAAGTTAAGAACAATCAAAGTCAGAATACTCTTTATATAATTCACAAGTAACTCTCAGTATAATAGGTATATATTATAATAAAATCGTAGGATCATTTTTTAATAATTTTTTAGGGAAAACTTTAAGCTTTTTCGTTGGATAATCGAAAATTTTTTCAAATTTTTTTTGGGCACATAACAGACCCACAGTGAGAAAAACATTTTCCATTTTTTCAGCTTGTAATTTTTTTATACATGTAAAAATTACTCAACTCACATAAACTCAAAAAATATAGTGACCTTTCAAAAGTAAAGATTTCAAACTTTAAAATCCTTTTCTTTTTTTAGTTTAAATTTGGTTCATTTTTAACGAAAATATTGTATGTACAATATTTGACATAAAAACGGAATTAGTTTTTACTCAATCCAATATATTTCTAAATTATTACCGCTGCTTGAGAATTTGCATAAAAAATAGCAATACACAAAGTCATTACAAATTAAATATTTAACGTTTTAAATAATTGTTTTTAGCAATTTTTTAATATTTGTCACTTTAGACAGAATTAATATACATATATATATAGTTATGTTCTTAAAATTGGAAGACAATTTTTTAAGAAAATGAAAAATTACAACATAAGATAAAGTAATGTCACAAATCATACTTTGTTTTAATCATAACAAGTTGGACCGATCTCAATGGAAAAACTCTGTTCGGGTTTTCCGATATCTCGCAGAGCCACGTCTAATATAGGAAGTCTTGTAGGTTTATCCGTTTCGTACGAGACAACAGTTTTACCCCAGTTGTTTCGATAGACCTACGAATTAATAAGTATACAAATAAATTAATATTGTCTTATGTGTGTGTTTTGTTTATTTCCTATATATATATATATATATATATATATATATATATATATATATATAGTGTTCTTAAATTCGAACATTTGTATTTTATGATTTAAGTCAAATGATTTAATACATTAATAATTAATACATTAAATATAATTATATATAAAAATGGAAAATCAATAAAGTATCAAATTTTGTAATGTTAAGACTATTTATAAAAATTGGTTTTAAAAATGAAAATGAAGCGTCTAAATTCAAATAGTAAGGACGGAGACCTTTTTTACTTTTCTGTGAAATCATTCAAACGGAGGGAGGGAGGTGATTTCAAAATAACATAAATATTTTATCTTTTATTGTATGTGAAATATATTTCTATATATACATCCTAGTCACAAATACTGTTTTTCATCAAATCACTCAAAATTTGTTTAAATTGTCAAAAATTAACATATTTTTTTTAAATAACCCGAATTTCTAGTGTTCAATACCCACAGAAGTTCTGGGCTCTGGATGTGGAAATCTCCATAAAAAAGTCTCCGTCTATGATAAATAGACTGATAATGTTAAAACTATTGCGCTCGAAAATTGACTTACCCTGCATTCATCCATTATCATTTCATATCTAAGACGCTGATTACCTCGTGGTGTCAATTCAACATCGTTCCAAGCTAAAAGCTTTAAGCCTCTTTTGTATGTTTTCTTTTCATAATCAAAGTAAGCCACGCTATTTTTACAATGATACGTGATGTTTTGATTCGCATGTTTTGAGAGCAATTGCAAGAAACTGATTTGATTACTATCTGCCTTGTATGTAATCTGAATGAAACAATCATTAATCAAATTCATTTCATAATCATTATCTAATAATGCGTTGTATTTTTTGTTGCAACAATTAACACAAGCGGAATTAGAGGATTAGTATAAAGAATATAATACAACCTTCATGCCGTTATCTATCTCGCTCAACCAGGTTTCCTGTTGATCAGTGATGTGAGTGATCTCTGGTGAACGCGATGGATTTGGTAAAATGCAAGTTGCACGTTTCTCAGCATCGCAATACACTAAGATCGCGTCTCGAATATCTCCTTCATTTGGATCAATCCAATACTCGCCTGTTAATGCACAAATTTATTTAAATACTCAAATATAGAATGCGTATTAATATTATACATTTGTCACTCTTAATATTTGCTTTTCAATTAAAACTTTTTTTAACTTAGATTTTTCCTAAAAAGAAATTTAATTAGTTTTTTATATTTTTTATATATCTATTTTATATATCTATTATTTTATATAATTTTATGTATTTTATTTTTATTATTGCAGAAAACAAAGTTTAAAAATCAAAATGAACATAATGAATAATTATGATAACTGTGATTTTTTTAAGATTTACCAGATAATTTGTCCGGATAAGCAACAAATAGATCTCGACAAGTTTTAGCAGGCGAATTCTTTTCACCATCCGGTTTCATCAATTTTTGGAATGACGATTTTAAATTTTCATACGCTTTTAAAAGTAATTCTCTTCGTTCCTTTTCAGGGATATCTTTACTAAATATTCTTGGTGGTTCATCTCCAAGTGGATCTGGTCCTTTGGTTTGGCCTTGTCCTATACAATAAATAATTTTTTAACTATTTAACTATAATAATTTATAATTTAAATAAAAGTAAATTTTTTCATTCAATTATTTTTGATATATTAAAAACTTAAATAATATAGAAAAATCTAAATAAATCTAAACATACATTTAAATTTATTTAGATAATGTTCTGGATATTCTTTAGAAATTGTTTATATGATGTTTGTGGAGTTAATTTTTTAAAAAATATAGAATTTGGATTAATTATACCTATAAATGCTACTAAAGACGCCGCATCGTAACCGAAACCCACTTCTCCAGGAGGACCAGGTGGTCCAGGAGGTCCTGGAAGACCCGGTGATCCTTGGCGACCTTCTTCCCCAGATGGACCTCTTGATCCAGGATTTCCCACAGGTCCGATAGGACCAGGATTGCCTTCTCGTCCAGGATTACCTCTAATACCTGGTTCTCCGTCTTTACCAGGAAATCCTGGTAGACCAGGTATACCTTTTTCTCCTACTAAACCAGGAGACCCGGATAATCCTTGTAAACCAGTAAATCCCCGATGTCCTTTAGCTCCTTTTTGTCCCTCTTCTCCGCGATCCCCTTTTATACCTTCAAGACCTGCTGGGCCGGGTTTTCCTCGTGGTCCCTGAAAATATTAGAATATATATGTATGTGTGCTCAAGATAAAATTCTTACATAAATTATATCGTAATTACAAGAATTTTATTTTTAAAAACCGATTTATATATGTATAAAATTAATTTAATTTAATTTAATAATTTTGAATTTAATTTTTAATTTTAATTTTAATTAATTCCAAACTTATTAGAGTTACATTAAGTTAGTTGAAAGCCCATTACCTGTGGACCTTCCACACCTTGCGGTCCTGTTTCACCTTTCGGACCACGTTCCCCAGTAAGTCCGGTGGGTCCGGTGGGCCCAGGTGGTCCCTATAAGGAGAGGAATAAATTATTTATTGATAATTATTATTACTTTATTATATATTTATACAAAGAAAGATAAAACAAAAGTTGTACAGATAATCCAGGAGGACCCGATGGTCCTGCAGCACCAGGTACTCCAGGTGGTCCCTTATCACCTGGTCGGCCTCCTACACATTAATCCAGGAGGTCCGGGCGGACCTTCCGCTCCTGTTTTTCCAGGTTGTCCTATTTCACCCTGTAATAAATTATTTTGTATTAAACTATTTAAAGTGGAAAAATTTAGCAATTATACACAATATAATAATTATAAATATACATATATATATATATATAATATAGTAAAAATAAGTAATTATAAGTATAATAGAAAAAATAGTTTAAGAGAATCGTTTGAAAAGTTTTGAGCCTCAATGTAAAAATAATATTACTAATCAAAACCCATTCTGGTACTACAATCGTACATATTTTGCAAGATGCTCAATTGCTGTTTGATCATTTATGCCAGCTGATGTCAGTGTTTTTGTAAGAATGGAAAAAATCGAATATCGACGATCGCCATAACAGAAACTTACGAATTGCGGTTCGAATTAATTAACTATCCACCGTATTCTAGATTTGATCCCCAACGACTCTTTCCTGTTTCCTAGGCTCAAAATTAGGCTCAGAGAACACAGATTTTCATCAAATGAAAACACTGACACAAATGACTGACACAAATGATCTTAAACCTAACCTGAGCGTCCAAAATGGCTACAATTTTCATAGGTATCTTGTAAAACACGTATGATTGTAGTACCAGAATGAGTTTTAATGAGTAATGCCGTTTTCGTGTTGAAGTTCAAAACTTTTCAAACTTATAACTATGTAATAAGAAATAAAAGCTTTAACGATCAAAGCTGGATTTTAAGTGGTTAAATAATTCGATACTATCATACATCATCATAACTATTGCGCGCCGAATCTTCCGCTTGCTGGACGAATGTCTTCACGGACTATCAAATTTCGGTGCCTGAGGATATTCATCCGGCAAGTGGGAGATTCGGGTTCGATTCCCGATCGAATATTTTTTGCAATAAAATTATTTACAGCTTTTAATAAATTTATCAGCATTATTAAAATCTTTCCAAGATGCTTATGAGCATCAAATTATGATATTACTACTATAATTCTGTCAAAATTGCGTTTTAAAAATCCGAAAAATTAATTTGGCACGCAATTTTTATGATGACATAATATTGAATTATTTAAATATTGTAATATTGAGTTATTTAAACACTTAATAGCTTCGGGATAAACTTCCGAAAATGTCAGATCAATTTTCAAATCTTTGTGTCAATGAAAATCCATTTAAAAGCATCCATTTGATATCATTTAGAGTATTTTTGCCAAATTCATGACAATTGAACGTCTGACGTTTTCGAAAGTTCAGCTTCGACCATTAAAGATTTTTATTTCCTATTAGTTGTATATTCACATGTACAGTCTAATAAGTTTCTTTCTTTAAGTGTAATTATATATTTTTATTTACGGGAGCTCCGCGTAACCCTCTATTCCCTATAGGACCAGGGGAACCAGGTAGGCCCGGTAAACCTCTTTCGCCAAGCGGACCTTGAGGTCCTTGAAAACCTGTTAGTCCTTGAGAGCCTGGAGATCCACTTTCGCCTTTAATTCCATCGATTCCAGGTAGACCAGGATTACCGATTGGTCCTGGATTTCCAGGACGTCCAGTATCGCCTGCATCACCTTTGACACCAGGCAATCCAGGAGCACCAGATGGTCCTATATTTCCTGGTGGTCCCTGTAATATTTTTAGTAATAATCCAATGCTTTATTTACTCTTTTATCTCCGATATCCTGATTATCTCACAATATGCTTTATGTATGTGTGTATGTGTGTATTACGTGCACATCTGTTTATTAAAATTTAGTATAATTCATGGAGATTAATGACTTACTGATGGTCCAACATGTCCTATAATACCAGGTGGGCCCATTAAACCGGGTTCACCTCGTACACCAGGATCACCTCTGATTCCCTTAGCACCAGTAATTCCAATAGGTCCAGGTACTCCGATCTCGCCGTGACTGCCTGTTAATCAATTTATATATAATAAAAACTTTTATTAATTTGAACCCGTGCTGTCGATTGAGTCTACTCAGAATTTGATTGGTTTAGCTATTATTGAAAACTAATCTCTCTTGCATACTCGCAATTCGCCGGTTCGCGTCAACTGATCTTGGGAGTCATAATACATGTATTAAAAAGTAAAATGTGCACATGAAATATTACCGTGTTTCCTCATTTTATGTAAATATATAAAAAATAATTTTAAATATAAAATTATTACAAATTATTATAAAATAATTTTTAAATATATTAAAAATATATAGTTTACTGCAGAGGATGTCTCAGGTGTACGCAACACTTACTAATAATAGATTTCTAAAGTTATTTTAGGAAATGAAAATTTTAAAATGTCGAGGCTACAATAATTTTTGAATTATAAGCATTAAATTAGCGAATCATATCACTTAAAGTTCGCGCGTTTAGGTGTGTTTGATATTTTGTTCTACAACGTAAAATACCAATCACACTTAAACGCGCAAATTTTAAAAAATAGACCAATTAGGATGTGAGATCCAATTCCGCAAGTGGCCTAATTTCGATTAGGCCTCTGTGTGTCTCCTACTTCACTAGTTCATTTGTAATATATTTTAACTGGTTGTGACACAAGCCGATTGTAGTCGAGGAGACATTGACCTCTGTTACACAGCATGCTTAATCGAGTTTAATAACATCCGTAGTTATGAAATTGGATCAAACTACGGATATTATCTGTATCAATCATAGCTGTTCCCCGGAAGAATGGAACGACTGTGATTAGCCAGTCTCATAATTATAGATATTATTAAACCCGGTTAAGAGTACCATGTAAAAGTATAAGTCATTGGTTGCGTTTAACAGAGAAAGCAGCTTTGCAACTGTTGTAAAATTCTTCAATACGATTGGTTTTTACTTTTGGTTATGGATCTAAATATATAAACCATACTGAAAAATTTCACAACAATTGTAAAGCTTTCTCTGCTGAACGTAGCCATTGTTTCGAGGAGTCTATACCAGCAGATGCCTGATTGAGGAAACGAATTTTTGGTGAGACGAGTGTTATTTTCTTATATATCGGTCAATCCGGTGTCGCGAAATCTGAACGGGTTACGCTTAACGCGCAATAAAATTATACTTCCATCCCTCAAAAGGAAAAATATTTCGAGTATTGAGAATCCAGCTGCCGCGTAGCACCCATCTAATCGTTCTATATCGCAATTAACAAGCATTTCTTAGCATTGCCCTTCTCGTCACAAGTAAGTCATGTCGTTTCTTGTAATTGCGTATAAGTATAAACGATAGCGGTCTTGCGACAAGTGAGTCTTATTGTCTTCTTTATGCGTTCGGGTCGAAACGATTAGTTGCTACGTGAACTTCTCGTTCACGTTCGGAAATTAAATCGAGAAATAATCTTTGAGCGAGAAATAATCTTAAGAGCGAGAGTCTTGATTCAACTATGCAAGACACGATCTGTATATTATGATCAACGTCTTGTATCGCGTAATTCTCAAATACAGCATTGTTATTTGTTACATGTAATTTTGTATCGATATCTCCTATCTCCTCTAACTCTCCCCGCTCATACAAATCACCCACATTAGCTGAGCAATCGGTTTGCCTCCGTCGCTAGAAAAAGTCCTGTATGAGAAATCTTCAGTCTGATCTTAATTGCAAAAGAATACAATTTTCAAGTTATCTGTAATATCGAGCAAGATTGATATGGTCTCTTGTGCCTGGCATTCATCAGTTAAGTTTTTATTTTTTTGAGTGGCTGTGCTAATTTTATTCTTATGCTAGCACAGCCATTAATTTCTCGGAAATGGCTGGAGCAACAAATTAGCAACAAAAAAGCACTAAATTTCTGTGCAACTTTTATTCGATTGTGCTGAAGTGGCTATGTCAGCTTAGATGTTAATCGTTTGATATGAATTATGAATTATTGATATGAATTATTTGATATGAATCATCGTATATAATTTATAATAGTATAGTAATACATAGCAATTATATTATATATAATAAAAACATAAAATATTTCATAAATTACAATTATGTCAGTTATTATTAACAATTTAGAATTATTTATTATTTGTTTATTACCAGGTAGTCCCGGATTTCCTTGTTCTCCCTTTAAACCCGGATATCCACGATCACCTTTCAGACCCGGAAGTCCGATTAACCCTTGTGGGCCTGGAAAACCTTGCGAGCCCTGTAATCCATGAGGTCCTCTTTCTCCTGGATTACCAGGAGCTCCGGGCTCGCCAATGAGACCAGGAGGACCTGGATCACCTCGTTCAGCTGGTTCTCCAGGAGAGCCAGGAGGTCCAACTTCTCCTTGTGGTCCACGCTCTCCAATATGTCCTATAATATTTAAATAAAAAAATATTAATGTTTTTAAAAAATTGTTTTTAATAAAATATAATTATATTATTATCAGCACTAAAAATTATTATCATTTAACAGATAGAAGGACTCTTTATATACAGAATAATAACAATAAATAAAGGGCAAAGTAAGAGTCAAACACATTTTAAATTGTAACACAATTAAATAAAATACATTACAAATAAAGGAAAATAAAAATAAAAAATAGTTTAAAATATAAATATAAAATATCACAAATTTCATATTTGTATTTTAAATTGTTTGTTATTTTTATTTTCCTTTATTTGTATTCTATTTAATTGTATTACAATTTTAAATATGTTTGACTCTTACTTTGCCCTTTATTTATTGTTATTTATTTTAAAAATTATTAAATTGTTTGTCAATTTAGTATGTGATATTTTACTACTCTAATTCTTTGTTCTATTCATGATTGTGCTTTAAGACCGAAAAAGATTTCGGCGTGGTTTGCAAAATTATTTATGTATATATATATATATATATATATATATATA